TGAGGCGGCAGGATGGTCACAGGGCACGAAGTTGACGGAAGAGAAGAAGCAAGAATCAATTCTTACTTGTTAGGAAAATGGTTAATTGAGAAGGCAAATAGTAAGAAAGAACTTCAGTGCCCCAAACTCAGTCAACCATCATCTAGTGCAGGGTGCAGGTCCAATCCATTCTGCCAGTTGTTTTCATAAAGTTTTCCTGAAACAGAGCCACACTCAGTTTCACTCACTCATTTCTGACTCTGACAACAGAACTGAGTACTTATGACAAAAAATCTTATGGCCCACAAAGACTAAAATATTTATTATCCAGCCCTTCAACAGAAAGTTTGCCAAGCACGCTGATCTGGTGAGAGACCACATCAAGACGGAATGAGCTCGCTGATACATTTTATCTGAAAGGGCAAAATAAATCCCTCACGTCTGCGGACTTCTAATCTTCTTTGAAAGACACTTCCGTGCCAGATCAGTGTCCATGCCGGGTTCCAGCTGAACATGGCAGGTGAGGCGCGTGCCTTTCATCTCCCCAACACAAGTAACGACCAAGTGTCTAACTCCCAAAGTGAACTAGAAGGGCCATCAATGGCTGAGAGGGTTAACCTAGTTTCTGTAAGTCAGACGTGGGGGCAGGAGGACGGACTGCAGACACAGGGCGAAGAGGCCACCTCAGAGGGCAGCTGCCTTCAAAGTCTGGTGCTCAGGAGGAAGGAGGGGCTGCAGATGGCGTCTCAAGGAATTATCAATATACAGGTGCCGACCGCAGGCACAGGAGTAATGGGGTCACTCGCCAGACAAATGGAGAATGAGAGAAGAAAGTCTCAGATCCCCAGACATCTTTTAAAAATATCTTTTTATTGACTTCAGAGAGGAAGGGAGAGGGAGAGAGAGATAGAAACATCAATGATGAGAGAGAATCACTGATTAGCTGCCTCCTGCACATCCCCCACCGGGGATCAAGCCCACAACCCAGGCATGTGCCCTCACCGGGAATAGAACCATGACCTCCTGGTTCATAGGTCAATGCTCAACCACTGAGCCACGCCAGCCAGGCAATCCCCGAACATTTTTAGAAGTAAAAAATTTAAATAGGATCAAGTAATTTTAACCTGAATACAGTATTACATATGAAGCCAACTTCTCCACAGAACACTCTGCATGTCCTAACAGTCTAAAGCCTGGCATCGAGCTGTTTATGAAGTAAGCAAAGGGCTTGTCTTTCTTCATTATCCCCACTTTGGTGTGATATTCTAGAAATCAAGTCATTAAATCACTCTATTCAGTGCTTACTAGTATGGGATTCATCAAAAATGAATCAAATCATTCTACAACTAAGCATAAAATACAAACTCAAAAATATGATTCACATTCTTAAAGAGGCCTATAATTATCAACATAAAAGAGCCTCCCTCTGCTAATATAGTACTTTTTAAAGGCGTATAAATTGCAATTTGACGCAATACCCAGATGCTTATTTTGCTCAGCAATTAATTCAATTAAAAATGTGCATATTATGAATCATATTAAATCCAGCCAAGATGAAATAATTTGAAAATTTATTTGAAATTGATTTACTTACTATCAATATTTCAAATTTTAAGAATGCTGTTTTATAGGAAAACTTCACCTGCTCCTCCCCTTTGGTCTCATAATCATCTGTGATGCTCTGATCATGCTAATACAGAAATAAGACTGGCTCCCATACCTAACCCCTCTATACACATGACGCCTCATACGAAGGCATACACAGAGGAGTGCAAAGGCACTGATGAGAAAATACTTTTGCCAATATCAGAAACAGTGCTGTACACAGCGGTAAACCTATCCCTGTATGTGTACACTATATCTGAAGCACAGACGAACAGATTGGTGTATATCCGCCACTCCCAACCCGCACAAAGAGATCACCTCTGTGCAGAAGTAGAAATGGTGGAAAGAAGCTGGGGGAAGACTTTTCCTTTTTACTGGGCATTATTTTATGTTGTGCTGATTTTTATAATGAAATTTATTCTTATATTGCTTATGTTCAAAAACAAAAGGTGAAAACCGATTCCATCCTTGTGGGCACAAGGGACATTACACCCCGTAATACCTCAATAGCCCCTCATAAACAACTCATTCATGGCATCGCCCCGCACATCACATGCTCAGCTAGTGAACTGAAGTTACGTCCCCCTGGGGAAAACATATTATAGGTTTTATGCTACAAACTCACATCCTCTCTATCAATTTCCACTCCCAGTGCTTGTGCCTCCTGTTCATTACTGTTCATAGTTCAGTCTGTCAGTTTAATTTTGGGCTGCTTTGTAGGTATCCACAATAATTACAATATTTAATGCTGTTCCTTAAGGTTGAGCTAAACAGAGCAGTTTAAATGCATATGTTCTGGCCAATCTTTGACTCCCGTCCCACCTCTACACACTCCTCCACCCCCACACACATATAAGCGTATGCACTCACTGGTGTTATATAAGATATCTTTCATCATACTAGGTCATTTCCCATTACCTCCTGCAGTATATCTGATGGCGACATTATTATTGATGCTACAGTAAACAGCTAATATATGTGGTAAAAATACATGGACTATCATGAATCAAAATGACATATCCACCCACCACACTCCCTCTACTCATTCTAATCAGATAACGGGGGTTTTCTTCATTGTACTGCAAAAGGAGAAGGTAACTTGGGGAAAAACATGCATGAAAATAGAGGAAAATCAAAGTAAAAACGTTTAGGCGATTAAGAACAGAAAGGAAGTTCATCTAAAACAGTGGTTCTCAACCTGTGGGTCGCGACCCCTTTGGGGGTCAAACAACCCTTTCACAGGGGTCACCTAAGACCATCGGAAAACACATATATAATTACATATTATTTTGTGATTAATCACTATGCTTTAATTATGTTCAATTTGTAACAATGAAATTGGGGGTCACCACAACATGAGGAACTGTATTAAAGGGTCGCAGCATTAGGAAGGTTGAGAACCACTGATCTAAAAGATTTGTGTCAAGTGAAATGTGAATTCATCAATTCTATATGTCATATTCTTAACCTGAAGTCCCCTGACACATGCAGCTCTGTTTCATATGAATAAAACAGCTAAAACATCACCATAAAACAGTCTTTCTAGAATTTATTTTGTAGAAAAAGCATGGGTTTGTTTTCATGTTTTCCTTTTGTTATTACTATTGCTAATTATCTTACCTAAACCTGGTATCTTTCTAACTTTGACAGAATTTTTGGTTTACAAAATGAGGTAAAAATAATTTAATTTTTTTCAGATTCCCTATTTTTATTAGGAAGGTGTTATTTCTAACCTTTTATTTCTATGTATTTAGCTTTGTGTTCCTTGGGAATAGAGTGCATCCTTATTACAAAATAAAGTAAGACAAAAATCCAGAAGATAAAGGAAACTACAAAAGAAAAAGGGAAATAATACCTAATTAGAATGTTAGAGCAAGAATAAAATTTAGGAATAGAAGAGAAATTAAAAGTCTAAATTCTAACTGCCTCAGTTCATTTCGCAAACTCCAGAGCTTACTAGCTCTAGGACATTTGGTAAGCTGCTTGCTATCCTATAGCTAGTAAGTTTCCTTATTAATAATATGAGCATAGTAATAGTGACCAACCCTCCCAATATTCCTGTAAAAGTAAAGAGAATAAAACTGTGCCGGGTACATACAGATGTCTAAGAAATACGAGCTCTTACTAGTAGTACAGATTAGAAAGTTGAGGCCCCGAAGTTTAAGTGTTTTCTCCAGGATAATTTAACTAGCTAATGGCAGAATTGTCATTAAAATGTGGGTCCTCTGAGTTTTTTGTACGTTTTGGTTTCTTTTCCATTAAGACCACGCTGGAGAAATTACTTTCACGAGAGAAAGTGAAACAGCAGAAAGTCCCTCAGATAAGCGTGGCCTAGATTTTAAAGAAGGAAAAGAAGAAGCTTGAGGGGGAGGTACATGTGCATACACAGAACAGACACACACAAACACACATTCACACACACCCCACACAGCAAAATAAGAAGCAGAAAGAATGGGTGGAGGGTGGGAGCAAGTGACACAGACGGAAAACTTCCAATTAGACTTTTTATTATGACACAATTCATTAGAGCTTAATTACATTTATTACATAATTAATCAGAAGGTTAGAAGTAAAGGTCATGTTGAATGTTAATTACACATCCTTTAAAGAATTTCAAATATGTTAACAGCAGTACTTTTATAGACTGTCAGTTGTTATAAATTAACTCAAACTCTTGGAAGGCAATTTGCCATTATCTTTAAAAATTCAAAATGCATATATCCTTTTACTAATCAATACAACTGAGAAGAAGTTATCCTACAGATTAATTTGTGGAAGTGTGCAAAACTGTGCACAAAAGGATGCCCAGTACATTAATGGCATTAGGGAACATGGGAAATGTTTAAGCATTCATTAATGGGAAAATTATGATTGTGGTGTATTCATAATGGAAAAAGTGGGATGATACCAAGAGTTCCTCCAGATAGACTATTAAATGAAAAACAAAATCAAGGTAGACAGGAATTTGCCAAATAATCTTTATCTGTGTTTTTTTAAAATAAAGGATATAGATATATGAATATGTTTACACAGAAAATGCTACAAAGACACTTAACCGTAGTCATCCCTGGGAAACAGGATTGAGGTCAGGAGGACAAGAAGATGGAGAGGAGTAAAAATTTAATTTTATATATATATCTCCATCCTATGTAACTTTTTACCATATATATATATATATATATATATATATATATATATATATATATCCTATATAACTTTTTACTATATATATATATATATATATATATATATATATATATATCCTATATAACTTTTTACCATATGCATATGGTATTTTTAAACTAAAAGAAAATAAGGCAAAGATTGCGAAGAAACAGAAATAGGCCAACAGGCATAACGGAGGACAAACTGAGGTTCGAGAACTTGAAGGTTCACTTACGCCTGAACATCCTTACCTGACACTTAGCACCACAGTATTTGGCAACTCGGCATTGAGAGCATCGCATCAACTTTTCCTTCCTGTGAAAATAAATAAATTTCACATGAGGAAATGAGAACCGTATCTGGTTGAAGAAAGGAAACATAAAGCAACATATGGATGCCAGCGTGTTCTGCTCACTCCATCTGGTTGGTCCCTTAGGATTTAGATTTTTGCATTGATGAACATCTTTCACCTTCAATGTGAGACACGTACATAAGAATGTTCTTTTTTTATTGTGATAGAATATGTGTAACATAAAATTTACCACTTTAACTATTTTTAAATACATACTTCAGTGTGTTTAAAAGATAATTCAACGGCCAAAATGGAGTCGTTTAAGCTAGCCCCATCAACTGGAGACTTAACTCAATTACAGTTTCAGCTCCCCCAGAAATAGAATCTTTAACCAGTCAGTTAGGGACCTCCAGAGCAGCACAAGTTGGTCATCTTCCTGATAAACCCCTGCCATTGCTTAGGTCAGGGGTGGGGAACGTCTGGCTGAGGGCCTTATAAGACCCGAGAAATCATTTGGTCCTGCCAAGGCTCTAGGGCAGTGATGGCGAACCTTTTGAGCTCGGAGTGTCAGCATTTTGAAAAACCCTAACTTAACTCTGGTGCCGTGTCACATATAGACATTTTTTGATATTTGCAACCATAGTAAAACAATGATTTATATTTTTGATATTTATTTTATCTATTAAAATGCCATTTAACAAAGAAAAATCAACCAAAAAAATGAGTTTGCGTGTCACCTCTGACACGCATGTCATAGGTTTGCCATCACTGCTCTAGGGTGAGTTAATTAACTGTTCGATCAAATATCGCAGGCTAATTTTTAAGTTGATAATTTGGTGTGGCCCGCAAATGATGTTATAAATATCCAAATGGCCCTTGGCAGAAAAAAGGTGCCTCGCCCCCAGATTAGACCAACCATGACCCTTTGAGCAATTACCGCTTTTCTCTTTGGGACAATAGGATCTTGTTAAGGTTTCCGTGCAGAGAAAACACTTGGGCAGCAGTGAGAGAGGAACGCAAGTAGCAGAAATAGAGCACCAGATAGTCCCTGAAAACACTGTTACTTTTTAAAATTTTAAAAGATCAACTTATCAATTCCAAATGAAAGACAAACCCACTTTTCTTAAAAAAAAAATCAGAAATGTACATGTCAAATAAAAATCAGAGTTAATCAGTAGGCCTACAGAAAAAGGACCATGTATTTTAGGTAGCTCCAACGGCTGAACCAGGAGATAGTAAATGGAATCAGGGAGGCGTAGATTGTATCTGAAGGTAAAGAAGACCTTTCTGGCGGCAGCAACAACCCAAAAGTCAGTGAAGAGCCCTGAGAAGGGCCCGGGCCCCAGTCACTTTTCACATTCAAGGAGGATCCACCAGGCACGTCTGCTAGGCATGCAGCGCCGTGCAGCAGAGGAGCATGCGGTGAGCTTCCTGCCAATACCAAAGTCATGTGGTTCTGTTTCTCCTGCACAACCGACAAATGCCCACTGAATCTGAAGATGACAGGCTGTGCACATCACAAGACACACAGTAGTCCCACAGAAGTAGAGAAGTGATGAATATACAATCTTCACAGCTTGCAGAAACATCCTGTTTGCAAAGTGAGTGCAATAAGAGTCTGCAATTACTGAATGAAAAACAATCTGAAAAAGTAGGCTAGGAATGTTATTAGTAAGAGAAAAGTGAAAAAAAAATTACTTCTTTTTTCTCCCACCACTTAAGAGATAAATAGTAGTATTCCACCTCCAAATTGGATAAGATATTAAAATTATTTTATACCAAAATAAATGGGATGTTTAGCTCTCCCCCTTAAAAAAAAAAAAGGATCCTTTGTCAGTTGGTCATACAGAGTCTGCTCTGCTAACTCAGGCTGCTCAGTGCCCCGGGGACAGCGGTTCAGGGAACAAAACAAGCCCTCTCTTCCAGGCCTGGGACACAATCAGCTTCTCCAACAGCCCACACAACTGACATGTGGAAAGGAAACAGGAACAGAGGAAAACTACGCTCTCCCAGGATACAAATTCAGGCTATACGCGGCGCTAGAGGGAACAGGGCCTCTACAAACTCGAAGAAGAAAAGACATTCATTGGCTGCCTCAATCCCAGCAACGGGGTGCTATTTACGGGAGTCTCTCTCTGTCCTTGTAATCAGGGGGGAGTACCCCACTACTGGACACTCTGCCCTAAGACAGTATGGCCAGTGGCCAGGCGGAGGGAAAGAAGCTTCCTGGAGAGAGTATAGAAAATGACTCTCCAATTTCCCCCAGTTCTGGCACCGGCAGAATCCATGTTACACGTCCCATAAACAAATGCACCTACAACACATCCATATACAGTATATTTGTTACACAGGCCTCTTTTCTAGCAAAGTGTCTTGATCCCCTGGAATCTCCCAGTGTCCACTCACTCACTGTCGGCCAATTAGGGCCAAAGGCTCAGCCTGCACAGGGAAGCCTGGCGACCCCCCCTGCCTCTGAAGCGCACTCTTGGGAATGGAGCACTGCCCTGTCCAACCGGAAGCAGCCCCAGAGCCCCATGTGTCTTTGCAGCCTCCTCTTTCAGCGGAAGACCCCGCCCTCCAATCTTCTGCACACTTTCCTCCTTTCTCACGGTCTGAAATTTAGTTTGTGGTGATCCTGTGCCCTTTGGAAAGAAATCTGAGCTTAAAAAAAAAAAAAAAGACCAGAGTATATTAGGCAGAGTCTACACCACTTACAGTTGCTAAAGGAAGTGTTGACTTATGTGGTGTCTGATTTAGAACCCCATTTCTTCATACACATTTTAAGGAAGATTCTCTGAATAGAATTTCTATAAACATATTTTTCACACAATTAATATATAAGATGCTCTATGGTATATGAGGAATACTGAATGTCATGATGGGCAAACTCTTAAGAATAAAGAGCTCCATTTTTTAATGAGAAAAGCCAAAATAACTGAATGAATTATGAATGAAATGTAAATACAATTTTTAAAACAAAGAGACCACAAAAATATTTCCTTAAAGAAATTTTATGTTTGTAAATACCTTTGACATTTCAGAATCCTGATTCATTAGACATGTAACCGAGGACTTGGCTGTTCCCCATAAAAATTTCTGAAGCAAATGAAATTTTGAGCTTTGAGAAAGAGATTATCCTCCAAAAATCATGTTATTCTATCCAATAGTAGTGCAATTACTTTTACTCCAACCAAATAAAATGTTAAGGAAAATGCTAAACATAATGTACTGCCTTTGGCATAAATATTCATGGTAATACAGTAAGGGGATCTTCCATTTTTGTTTGGAGATGATAATTATGTTGGTGTTGGCCCAAAGGCTTCTTTTTTAAATTAAAGAGATTCACATCCACCATCCACCCAACTATCAAATTGTTTTTAATACAAAGCACCAGATGTGGGCAAAATAAAACAGATTCATAACACAGGAAAGTAGAATTGGTATGGATTCATTTTTCTATGTTCCCCATAGCTTTACTTCACATTTCTAACGTTTAAAGTACAAAACAAGAAAATGCAATGGTTAATATTTCAGGGAAAATGAACCTATAATTGACAGGCACCATGCCTTCCTTCCTGGGATAAACACCGGCAATTTAAACCCACATTAGCACTTAGCACCGCCAAGTATTGGAGCCAAGTTACTCAAGCAAGACAGACCATCTTACTTAGGCACTTCCCTTCCCACTGTCCTCAGTCCCCTGAATTAAAGCTGTTGTCCTGTGGAGACTGTGTTCAGTGATGGGCCACCTTGGGGACATCACCCTGTAAGGTCCTGGGTAGTTGGCTTGGAGGAAGGCACCATGGTCACTGCTTCTAAGAGCTCATGATGAAGAGGACAGACCATCACACATCACATGCAGAATGAGTTACAATACGAAACCAAAGGTTTAGAGAAATGGCATAGACTGTGGGGCCTGAGTTCAGAAGAAGGAAAAGTCACTTTCTGATCAAGAGTGAATGGGAGAGGATGGTAGGGCCGTTCTGGGGACAAAGGAAGTCCCCACACCTAAGCGGAAAAATGGTTTAGCAATTTAGAGTTCAAAGTCTGCAGCCCAACTGCTATAGTTCGAATGTGTCCCCCCAAATTCACATATTGAATCCTAACCCCCAAAGGTAACAGTATTAGGAGAGGCCTTTGGTGGGGGGTGCTTAGGTCATGAGGGTGGAACCTTCAGGAATGATTAGAGTTCTTATAAAAGAGACCCCACAGAGCTCCCTTATCCCTTCCACATGAGGACATGACAAAAAGACACCTGCTATGAAGCAGGAAGAAGGCCATCACCAGAATGTGACCATGCTGGCACCTTGATCATGGACTTCTCAGCTTCCAAAACTGTGACAAATAAACTCCTGTTGTTTAATAAGTTACTCAGTCTATGATATTTTGTTACAGCAGCCCCAATGGACTGAAACATCAAGGCTACTACTGCCTACCAGCAGTATCTACACTAATAAAAGAGAAACATGGTAATTGGCGTACGACCGCTACCCTTCCCATTGGCTAATCAGCGTATCCTTATGCAAATTAACTGTCAGCCAAGATGGCGGCCGGCAGCCATGTACTGAATCGAACAGGGAGACTTGCTTCCTCCAGTGACTGCAGACTCCAACGTTCCCCGCCTCTCAACTGCAACTCTAAGCAACTATTACTATGTTGCAAATAAGAAGCTAAACAAAACCGGCTTTCAGTCAGCCCCGGACCGCAACATTGTATCCATGTTTTCAGCAGCGAGGCCTCAGAGCTAAAGCTGGCCCAGAATAAAAAAAAAAGAAAAGAAAACAAGGAGCGGTTGGGAGCTTTTAGTCAACTGCCAGCGGGAAAACAGCCCTCAGCCCCTCAGCCAGCCTGGCCAGGCACCCCAGTGGGGACCCCCACCCTGATCCAGGACACCCTTCAGGGTAAACCAGCCAGCCCCCACCCATGCACCAGGCCTCTATTCTATATAGTAAAAGGGTAATATGCCTCCCAGCACCGGGATCAGCGGAGCAGTGAAGCTCCCAGCACCGGGATCAGCGTGACA